TGTGTGTGTGTGTGTGTGTGTGTGTGTGTGTGTGTGTGTGTGTGTGTGTGAATGAACAGCAGTGGGATCCAGCATAATACTATAAATTAAATCTCAACAAAAAGTGTGAGAGGTTCCCAAGAAACCAAGAAACATGGTTGCACAATCTTTGCATTGATTGGCCAGAGAGCTGTGACAACAACACCTTCTTCCTGTTTTGGGAACCCTTAAACGCAATTTCCAGACAACACCCTCCAGCTCCTCCTGGGAATTCCAAGGCATTTCCATGCCATAGAGGTTATATACCCCCCCCCCCCCCCCCCCCCAGTAAATACTAGGTCTGTGCAGAGGTCATCCCTCTGTGGGATGTGGCCAGAATAGAGGGACTTGGAGGGATCCTAATTAGATCCACAAACCATCTCAGCTGATCTTTGATCCTTACATTTAGAGAAGCTCCTCACCAAACTGCAAAGGCTCAGCCAGTCAAGGAGTGGAGCCCATTTCAGTCTCTCAAATCCAGGATCTTGTTCTTGTGGTTCAATGCATATTTATGCACATCTCCTTTTCCACCACAACACTCATGCAAAGTCCTAATAAAAGGAGTTATGTTTATGTTTATGTATTTAGCAGACACTTTTGTCCAAAGCGACTTACAAGTGATAATCGGCATGTTGCCCTTGAAGCTAACAGCAACAATAACAACAACTTGACATCAATCATGGAGAGGAGGGAACAAAGGAGTGGATGGTAGAGGGGGGACGGGTGCAGGGAGGCTGCTAGTTAAGAAGATGCTCTCTGAAGAGCAGGGTCTTCAGGAGTTTCTTGAAAACTGAAAAGGAAGCCACAGTTCTGGTACTGCTTGGAAGGTCATTCCACATTTGTGGAATGTGCAAAGGGGAGTCATAATGCTTACATGTAAACTCCGCACAGCCAAAGCAGCAGGATAGACTGTCAAGAGTCAGAACACAATGTAAGAACACCTGTAAGAAATACAGGTCATCAAGTCTGCTGCCTGGAGGACAGCTGGTCATCCTCGTAACAAGATAGCAGCAGGTCTGCTGCCTGCATGGAAAACAGCCTGTGCCTTGGTGACATGCGGCTGCGCTCAGTAACAGAAGTGCTGGCGGTGATGACATCATAGCTGGGTTCGATGTCACGCAGAGGCCCCTGGATATAAACTTACAGAGAGATGAGGCCCTGAAGGTGTCAAAAGGCATCACCTAGGAGATGCTGTCAAACACCAACCAGACAACAAGGATGTGGTATGTTTGTTTCTGTTTGGGGTTAAGAGTCACGCTAGATAAAAAACAGTGCGTTTTTAACTCTACGATTAAATAATGCAAACATAAAATGAAAAGTTTTCTTTCACTGAAAACGTGCACAACATGAAAAAGAAATTTAGCACAGCAGCATCTAAAGGTGTGAAGAACCTTTAGAATATTTGGGATGCCTTGCATTTGTTCCAGTTTAGCAGCATGAAGACACCATCAGAACAAATTTAGGGTGTCTTAAAAACTCTTGATGGATGAAAGCAGCCTAAATCACGTATACATATTAACATATTTGCAGCTGAAATGAAAGCGAAGGAAGGTGAGCATGAAGAGACAGAGAGAATAGAGAGTGGCTGGGAGACAAAAGGCGAGAAGGAAGTCCTGATTGCATTTCAAAGAGATGAAGGATGCACAAGAGGAACTTCAGATCAAAAAATAACACCACAGAACATTTTAGGATTCGTTATATTCTCCTTTACTCATTTCTGACTGAATTACTTCTGTTCAGATATTAGGATTACAGGAGGAAGAAACAATGTCAAATAAGAACAGGAAATAAGTCACATCTAACATTTATTTAGCAGGAGTGCAAAGGAATAAGTTTGAAGGTGGTCCTGATCTGACTGACAGGAACTGTCAAAACAAAGAGGCTGTTTCTAGGCTGATGCAAAGAAGTATCTTCAGATGAACACAGAGCCAGAGTAGCTTTATTTGTTTTTTTTCATATAAACTGAATATGTTTTTATGTAGTTGCATCAGTTTCAGGCTGCTGCCAGACAGAAATGAGAGAAAAGCTTAGATGCTAGTGTCTTTGGTATTATTATTGTGCAAAAATATGTTGGAGATGAAAAGCTCAAGCAGAACATGTTTCACACACGTAAAACAAGCTAGCTCCCAGAATCATATGTGAACTGTTGGATTCCATTTACTAAAACGTGTTAAAACTATAATCTCACTTCCAATTAAATGAAGCTACTTTAAATGTTGCTTCAAAAAAAAATTGGACCCCTTGATCTGAAATTCAAGGCACTTAAAGGGGCCATAACCGGGAAAATCCACTTTTATTAAAGTAATTTTTAATCAATTCCAGTAAAAATGTTTTTTGTTCTTGTGAAGCACTTCGTGATTTTTATCTTGAGAGGAACTATATAAAAACTTTCTTCTTCTTCTTCTTCTTCTTCTTCTTCTTCTTCTTCTTCTTCTTCTTCTTTCTTCTTTCTTCCTCCTCCTCCTCCCCCTCCTCCTTCTTCTTCTTCTTCTTCTTCTTCACTTTTTACCATGTAATTTCGTCAGGGGGGCAGCAGCCTAAGTAGAGAGGCCCAGACTTCCCTCTCCCCAGCCACTTGGGCCAGCTCCTCCGGGTGAATCCCAAGGTGTTCTCTGGTCAGCTGAGAGACATGGTCCCTCCTGCGTGTTCAGGGTCTTCCTTTAGGTCTTCTCCTGGTTGGACGTGCCCGGAAAACCTCACCAGGAAGGCATCCAGGAGGCATCCTAACCAGATGCACGAGCCACCTCAACTGGCTTTTCTCAATATGGAGGAGCAACGGATCTACTCTGAGCCCCTCCCGGAAGACCTCTAAGGGAGAGTCCAGACGCCCTGTGGAGAAAACTCATTTCAGCCGCTTGTATCTGCGATCTCCTTCTTTCGGTCACTACCCAAAGCTCATGACCATAGATGAGGGTAAAAATGTAGATCAGCCAGTGAATCAAGAGTTCTGCCTTCCAGCTCAGCTCTCTCTCCACCACGACAGAATGGTACAACGCCCGCATCACTCAGATGCAGCACCAATCCGCCTGTCGATCTCGCGCTCCAGCTTTCCCTCACTCGTGAACAAGATCCCAAGAAACTTAAACTCCTCCACTTGGAGCGGGACCTCATCCATAACCTGGAGAAGGCATTATACCCTCCTCCGATTCAGGTTTATTTCCTCATGAAAACAAACCCCAAACCAGTTTTTGACTGCATCCATGCATTTTCTTGTATCAGCTGCAAATTTAGAGTTTTACTTAGAAAATTCAGCAAATGCCTGAATGAAAACAGTTTGCGTCTTGGTTCTGAAACCTGGATATTCTGTGGATCTTCTGACAAATCACTTCTGCATCAGGGACAAAACACGGCCATAAAAACCGTCCTGTCTACAAAGACACACATAATGGCCAGCACAGGATATGGGTGTTAGGCAACTATCATCTTGTCACAGACTTGGTAGTCCAGTGGTTAGAGTGCCGTGAAAGGCAGTCACTGCAACCACCAGACTACCAAGGCCAATACAACAGCAGGCTCGACTAACAGGGAACGATGCTCTTGTAGGTGTGTTTTGTCGGAGCGGGGGTGGGAGGAGTTTCACTGAATCTAATCGGTTCATTTCCAGGTAAAACTTCAGACTGACAAAAATAACTCAAATTATATCAATAGTGCCAGCAGTAATATTTGATCATATACTGTGCCTACTTTTGTTCTCAAAGGTTTAAAATAGCATGATCTGGAACTTTTAAAAGCTGAGTGACATTGGAAGAGCAACATCTGATTTCAAAAATAATCCCTCATAGGATCTGATCTGGGATTTGATGAGTAAAGGGTCATTCCACAGATTACTGTCACACTAGAGATCATTTAGCTGGTGAAATAATGAGAAGTTTAGATTATGAGAGGGAAAAGAAAGCAAATGCAAGGAAAAACAAAAAGAGAAAACTTTAGCACATAAAGAAAATACATGGAAAATGCTAAAGTTGAGTATTTTACTGAAGCAAAATGTTGTCATCAGGAAGAGTGCTGCCTCTGTGTGTGTGTGTGTGTGTGTGTGTAGTTCAGACTGAGGAGTTTTCTCAATATCATGCTTTGCGGTGCTTCACACACGCACGCACAGCTGCACAAGCACACGCCCACTCACAAAAATATAGAGAGATAAAGTCGTGCCGATAAGCCGTCGGCTGGAAACGAAGTCAGCCAGTGTAACGAGGCACTGAGGGAATACAGAGCAGCTCTGAGAGACTTGAAGGGAAAAGGGAGTGAGAGATATGAAGAGAGTCTAGTGGGAGAAAGAGAGTGTGAAAACAGACAGATGCCAGTTTGTTCCAACAGAAAAGCAAATAAAAATGAAAGAATATCGAAGTAAATAAAGCTGCGACGAGAAAAAGCTAAAGATAATGCAGGAAAATTGGATCGTCTTTGCAAAAAGGTGTGAGGTAATCAAAGAAATATTACACTGAGAGGAAATGTGGAAATGACTGCAGCTTGCAGAAACATCAAATGGAAACAATTGGAAAAGATTTCCGGCGCAGGCGCAAAAATATAAAGACAGCCGAGCGTATTCTTTAGTTTGTGTGAAGCTACTCACACACACTCAAATGACCAACACTTGGCCAGATTTAATTGTCATCACATCTGTTTCTCCTCTCATAAACATAAAAATACTCATTTTAATCAAACTCAGTTGAATACGTTTCTGCACAAAAAAAACTGAAGCTTCCAGTTTGGTGCCAGAACCAAAATAGCTTTTAAAACCACCTCCAGCATCAGAAGGTGTTTCATAAGAGCTGAGCCACTTTCTCCTTCTTTTAAAACGTTTCCAACTCAACATGAATTTGGGTGACTTTGCATTCTACTTAAAACTGTTATGGATTCTGTTTCATCTCTTCTGATGCACCATTGCTGTGATAATTATGGGAGACTACTGTCAGTTTCCAGTTTCTCTGCGGTGCAGATAACCCAAATCATGCAGATAAACTAAATCTGTACTTCTCTTTCAGTCTTCAGCATCCTCAGCCTCCTGGCGACGCTGATGTTGCCAGCCTCCTCCTGCCCTCCATCCTGCTTCTGCTCGTCAGACAGCCTAGTGGTGGACTGCGGGGGCCGAGGACTCCACTCCCTCCCTCCTATGCACCTCCTGCCTCCTAGGAGCCGCTCCCTACTGCTGGCCGACAACAAGATCGCTTCACTGGGAGCCTCTGCCTTTGCTAACCTCTCCACTCTGGAGGTTTGGATTTATTAATTACTTTCAGGATATTTTCTCATTTTGCTGAACGGTTAAAATATTTGACGTTTTTTCCCGATTTTGGAGCGCAACATTCTCTGCACTCTACAGTAGAAATCCCCCAGGATACTTCTAACAAGTTTAATATTGAGCAAAATGCAGAAAATCTCCAGTCTCATTTTGCAAACTAAAGCTACGAAAAGATCAAATTTCCAAGCTTTGCAGCTCTGCTCAGCATCAGCAGAGCCCTGCTAGGTTGGAAATACCCTAAATGATAAATAATGCATGTTTATTTTAAAATGAGCAACAAACCGATTCTTAACTTAAAGAGAAATGTCTCTCTTTAAATATTTTCTGGAAGGTTTTTCATCAAGGTGACCTTCTCATAGTGCTGCAGGCATTTTAGCACAAACTGCCCATTAAAATTACTAAATCACTTCAATTTGAAACATTTGCTCAGCCTGGAACAACTTCAAACAAGTAAGAACAAAATAAACATCCACGATTTCAAGTGATATGAGACATTTGGAAACAAGATTTTACTGTGAGCACCCTGCATTTTTGTCAGTGAGAATTAAAAACATCAGCTGAGCTAAACTTCCGAATTAATAAAATCCTAATGAACGATTGATTAAACAATAAAAAACTAGCAGTACATCCGTTTAAGGCATATTAGGGTATTCTGGATTTTTAAAAAAATATATACATTATTTAAGGTTTTATGCATCTGGAGATGTTGAAATCTTTTTCTCCTTTGAAATCAAAGTGAAAGCACAATACTCGTGAGTTAAAGAACGATGGTGTGCACGTTCAAACTGTTCTAAAAGGGTAGATGGACAGAATAACAGAATGGTTGATGTGCAGATCAATTAGTTGTTTTTCAGGTTTTTCATGTCTAACACACACACACGCACACGCACACACACGCACGCACGCACGCACACACACACACACACACACACACACACACACACACACACACACACACACGCACATGCACACGCGCACGCACGCACGCACCCACGCACACACACAATATTCTTGAATTAAAGACATTGCAATTTACTGGAAAATGGCAAAAAACATGTTTTAAACCCAGAGTAATATCAAGCTGCACGCTGCAACAGGAACATACAAAACGGGTGACAGCTACTAAATGTCAAACTGTGGAAACTGTGAAAATTTCAGCTTGATACATTGGTCTCGAGGGATTGTATTAGAAAAATCAAACACATTCTCTGATGGAAACTAATTAGAGGGGATTGAGTACGAGAGTGAAGCCAGAGACAGAATTGGATAAGCTAAGTGATATCAGGCAAGCTGAGCTATCAGAACCAACTGGACTTTTTCCGAGACCTGATGGCCTCTATAATTTACATTTTTTTGCTATTTTATTTCCAACAATAAGAAAAAAGGAAACTTTAAAAAGTGAAAATGTTTCTGTGTGTTCCAGGAGTTGGATCTCTCTAACAACTACCTGGATAATTTACCTGCTGGATTGTTTAAAGACATGTCAAACTTAACCAGACTGACTCTACGCAACAACTCACTGACAGTCACAGACATGGACCTCTTCCAGGTAAGAACAGGACAATGCAAACCACCTTAAGGTCAACTTTACAGTGAAAATGACGCTTTAAAATGCACAATAAGACCACATAACATAAACAAATGCAGTATTATTCACAGAAATGTGCTAAAGCAGCAGCTGTTGATGCTTTTACAGGGTTTAGGTGGTCTCCAGAGTTTGGACTTGTCCTTGAATGGCCTGTTCTCAATTCCAATAGGCCTTCTGGACGAGCTGCAGAGCCTGAGGTAAATATAAACCACAAAATGCTTTTTAATACCTTTTTTTCAAGTAAAGGAGACCATCTGCTGCAGTAAGATGTGATGCATTAATCCAGCTCCCACTGTGATTCAGAGTGCAACTTTGCTTTTCAGGAAATGAAAGTGCAACGGCTTGCTTTGCTACTCTTTAAAGAGGTCCTTCACTGAGAAATCATTTTTTTTTTACTTATTATTTTTGAAAATGATCAGTCACTCTGAGTTTTACATGCAGGCTGATTGTGAAAATAGTCTCCTACACCTATCACCTGCATTAGCTTCGGGTAGAAAATAGACAATGGATCTTTGAAAATCCAAGCATTCATGAACTCACCCCTCTTCACTCATGATGGGGACGGTTGTTGTTAGTTTAGCATCCAGGAAACAGCAGAGGACATCTCGGCTAGTAGAAGCTACCCGTTAGCATTAGCAACTCCACCACATGGAAGAAGCTCCTACAGGCTCGTGTTATTTGTGGTGCTAAAACATCAACGTTGCAGAGCAAACACAGTGAGTCACGCTGCTGTTATCCAATCAGAGGCGAGGTGTCCAAACATCAGGAAGTAAGACTCCAAATCTTTTTGTCTGAAGCTACTTTCTCCTCCAGCTGAATTCTTTGTTCTGAAATGAGCGAAACTGAACTTTTTTCCCAGAGTTTGACCTACAAGGCATTCATTCCTACTAGAAACCACTACAAATGTATTTAAAATATGAGTGAAGGACCTCTTTAAAATGTTATACCATCCTCCTAATAGAATCCTGATTATTTTAAATATCTGTCTTTCTCCAAGGTGGCTCTCACTGGCAAGTAACAGGCTTCATGGTTTGGAGAGGGCAGCATTTGAGCCGCTGGCCAACCTGCAACACCTGGAACTGGGACACAACCCCTGGGAATGTGACTGCAACCTACGTGATTTCAAACACTGGATGGAGTGGCTGCTGTACCGAGGTGAACGTCTGATTTGCGAGGAGCTCCTGTTCCGTTTGTATTGAGGAACCAGAGTAATGTCTACAACGGGAGAATAGACTGGACGTTTTTGCTTTGAGCCACATGATGCTCTTGTAATGCCTATTATCACGTACTAGGTTTTCCTGGGTTCCGTTCCCGTGCGTCTCTGCAGGCTGTCAGTGCATCAGATTACCACAGCTGCTCTCCTCATGTGTAAAAATCTGCATTCACCTCAGCGCTCGAGGCCTCAGCTGCCCACCTAATGAAGCATCTCTTCTTTATCATGCTCTCTGCCGCTTCACTCGTTCACTTCAGTGCTCTTCAGATGGAGACCGACACACGATAGACGCGGTGATTTAATAATCATCAGAGCAGCAGAGGAAATTACAAGGAGGCATTTCATACTTGAGCATAAAATCACGATGGAGGCTGTTAAAAGGAGCGCCTGAAGCACGGTGATCAGCGACCTTTGTTGACATTTTAAATCTGGTCCACATGAACACATTTGTTATGTTACATGATATTAGATGAGAGACATGTTAATGGAGGGGAATTATTTTGTCAGATGCTAAATTTAAAGCATCTTCAGGCTAAATGGCTGCATAGCTCTCTTCTATTTTGGCCGTTCCGTCGTCCTCCAGCTTTTGTGTTTTGTTACTTAACCCGCTTCGGGACACAGATCAATAGCTTTGCACGTGACCATGAGATGGATGCTAAGTTTGGAAGCTCACGCCTGTGATAACAGAGACCCCCACCCCTGTGTCGCTAGTGGGAATTAGTGACTTAGAGGTTTCACCAGAGGGGTGCTGAAGCGAGGCATGCCATCTCATGAATTATACAAGAGCTTAGACAAGGCTATCTCCAACTTACTGTGGAGGGCTCAGCAAATAGTGTGCATGTGTTTAGAGATGGATGACTCATACTAGAGTTGGAGCAATAACCGCTTTCTGTCTTTGTTCTCGATGTCACTTAATTAGGAAGGTTTTACAGGCAAAAGGCATTTTATTAACAATCTTTCCTTTGTGCTTCAGGGGGCAAGGTGGACGAGCTGGAGTGCACGCTACCAAAAGATCTGCGTGGGAGAGACATCCGTAGCGTTCCCGTGGAAATGTTCAACTACTGCCTCCAACTTGAAGATGAGAACGGAGGAGGAGGGGGTGGCGAGGGTGCTCGTTCGGGACAAGGAGGCGGTCCTCCGTGCAGCAGGAGTGCTCTTAATCCAAGTGGGGCGACACCAGTTTCTGACAACAGTGGCAACGCCGGTGACGCCTCTTCAAACACAGGAGGAGGAGCTGGGGAGGCCTCACCGGACTGCGTCCGAGCCCGTTACAGACCCGTGAGCGTGCGTCGTGCTATCGGAACGGTGGTGATCGCAGGCGTGGTGTGCGGCATTGTTTGCATCATGATGGTGGCTGCCGCCGCTTACGGATGCATCTACGCTTCTCTGATGGCCAAATACCAGAGAGAGCTGAAGAAAAGGCAGCCGCTAATGGGAGACGGAGAGGCTGACGGGGACGATAGGGACGATAGGGAGGACAAACAGATCTCCTCTGTGGCCTAAAAAACAAGAATGAGACGGGGAAGGTTCGGCACGTCGAAGGGTGAAAGCACCGAAAATAAAAGGGCTCAAAGAGGAGAGAGATGGAAAAGCTTAGAGTTAGAGTATCTCTCCCTCTGACTTCCAAACTGACACCTCTCTTCCATTTTTTGTCTTCCTGTTTTCATCCTCTATTTTTAACCTTCTCCTGCTCTGTCCCTCTCTCCAACACACTCCCACACACACACACCTTATCTGCTCCCTGATTTTCTCTTCAATTTTGGACCCATTCTATCTGCGGTATTTGTTACCAATTATCCCTCCAAGTCGCCCACCAGCCACCTACTGCAGTTGAATTTGCCATTATTTTGGCTGGCTGGTAAGAAACATATCACTGAAACACCCATGCTGTATGTTCAGTCAGTTTTTTGTAAAGCTAGACTGAAAATTCAGGGATTCATAGCATGTGTAGTGTTGATTGGAGAAATGCTAACAAGATTTAGCTAAATTTGTGCCATCTTGTTTCTTTTTCTCAACCTCTACAAAGCCAGCGGTCGCCCATGAGCACCAGGACCCCCAGCCCTAAACGTTTTCCTTTTTCTATCCATCTCCAGACCTAATCCTCCTCTGGTTTTTCTCTTGAGACCCCAGGACAAGACCAATATAAAGAAAACTCTAACCTATAACGCTGAAGGCGCTCTACATGTCTATCTTTGGACAGAAGGGATGTGAACCGATATTTATCAAAGGACTTCAAACAGATGTCACCAATTTTCAGGACCGTTTGAGGACTAAGAGCGATCCTGAGGAGGGAACTGCGGACTGGCTAAAGAACCTCACCAGGCAGGACGAACACAAACATAAAGTAGCATTGACCTGAAGTTTTATTTCAGCATAATTGTCCTCGTAAAGAAAAGCTTTTGTTAATTTGATGCTTGTAAAATGAATATAATTAATGTCAAAAGCTTTTTGTCACAATGGAAAAACGTCCGGGTCAGTCTTTCATTTAAAGCAGATGTTTTATATTCACCCTCTCCCCAAAAGTGAATGTTTGCTATGAAGGCATGAACAACAATCTCAGAGAACATCATCTCTAGTCAAAGATTACAAATCTCACATAAGGACTACAAAGGTTAGACTCCTGCACTTTACTCTCCTCTTCTCCTTCTTTCTTTCAAAGACAAACAAACAGCCAAGAGGGATTATAAAGGAAGGGATTAAACATAAAAGCTGCTATTTTACTGCCCTCAATTATTTATCACTCTATCCATCTTTATATGCAGAGCTGGAATGTTTTTCACGCTGTTTAAAGAATTTCATCTCAATCCTTTATTTTCATCTCCTCTGCTCCAGACATGTTTGTGTTTTCCTAAAACGTGCTGCAGTATGCAATGACAGTTGTCTCACCATGTGTCTGGATTCAGAAGTACTCTTTACTTGGCAGGGACTTTGAGTGCTTCACTTTGTGTTTCCATTAGTATCTTGATTACATCCCGAAAGAGTCACGTGCACTTTATCAGCTTTTTGATGTAAACGGTAATCTCTTAAATGATTCAAGTAGCATCTGTTGCATATTGCCTCCCTGGAATAAATCTACTGTAACCTTTCAGTTTTTTAATTGGCTTGAAATTAATCCACGTTAACGGTGTGTTTCTAATATCCGAGTATGATACAGATAAATATTATTATGCTAATCTAATATAATGTGTTGGCCCAGTAGTTATGACATGTTTCTGATGTTTTTATGTTTCCACTATGAGCTCAAAGTGTATCTGTCTTTTTGTTGTGTTCATGAATTCCATGTTTTATATTTATACATCTGTGAGGTTCTTTTGCTTATTTATGATTAGCAGTCGGTAACGTTTTTGTGAGACGGTTAGACAGAGTTTGGAGTGTGTGAGGGGTACTTGTACTGTCTCTGAAACTGTAAGTTAGATTTCATTTCTAGCTATTCAAATGTCAGGTAAACTCATTTCTGGAAGTGTTGGCTAAATCTCCTATCCTGGTTTAAGAAAAGTGGCATGCATGCTTTTTGTTAAATCCATTTAATTTCTGTTATTTCAGGCAATGCTCACTGAATAGTCATAATAAATGACATTAGCAGTGGGTAAAAAGTACAAGGATGGTAGATAAAAAAGTCAAAAGTAGTCTACTACTTGGAAAACAAATTATGAGAATTTATGGAAACAGATGCTAACTCTTATGTCCAGATGTTTTTTTATATTAAATAATTTTAAATACAGAAGATGTACCGTAGGTTTTACATTTACTGGTTATTTTGTCCCCAGTAAATAAGCACAGTGATAAGTCAGAACAAAATGAGATTAAAGCTGAATTTAAAGAGACAATGTGTAGTTTTTACCATTCATCTATAGAAATATCCATCGAAATGTTGTTGAAAATGAATCAAATGATGCCCAGGTGCAAACATATATTGGTGGTTTCATAACATATAACCATAAAAATTGGGTCTAAGTGTCTGGGTGATGCCGTATTAGATGTCATGTTTCCTTCTATGGGAGCCTGTGAGGACAAAATGCATTTACTGATTTGTAACCGTTACAAAACTTTCGCCATTCATGAATGTTGCTTTACATATTTACGTCTTCACTTGTTGCTAATGATGAAAGGGCGTCTGATGTGCTTGTCATTTGGTTGGAGGTTGGGCTACCAGGGATTTTTGACCCTCATGGCCATCCGTTGGTAAGGTCTTACTCGAACACAAAAATACTGCTTGCTTGCAATGATTTAGGTATTTGCTGCCCCCTATCGCCAGGGAAGATACACATTGTCACTTTATAGGCTGAAAATACAAAGAATGTAAAACATCTTTGTTATAAATGACTGATTCTTACTGGTTATACTTAGCCCAGTTTAAAGGAGACTCTTCTGGCCTGTAGTCACTATAACTCCTTACCTGCCAAGTGCACTGATGTGGAGAGGATCTAACAAAACTGATTTAAAAGACTGACAGTCACGCATCTGTAATGAAGACTAGTGGCAGAGGGCCCGCTCTTAAAAAAAAAAAATGCAAATTAAGAAATAAAACAAGGCAGTCAGTAGTCAGGTCCTCATGAATGACTTTAAAATGAATCCCTAAGAAGCCCAAAGCAAAGAAACATTGTTGGACTAAGAATGCCAACAATTCTCCTGCTTCAGGATCTGGAACCAACACAGACTAAGATGAATAAACCTTACCATCCCTCTCTGCTGTGCTTGAGCACTGTTGTTAAAGCCCCTAACTGCTGAGGAAGATGTTTTGTGTGGGCATGATTAAGAAATGCTGACAAAGCACCGTCCAGTTAACACCAGTAATAGACTCCCTAATCTCAGGTTCTGTTCACTCACCCACTGGATTTGTGAATGCTACCTTCAAAACACAAAAGTGAAGTAACATAACTTAAAAAACGAATATTTGATGACTTTGTCATGTTTTCCAAAAGGCCATCTGAATTAGAAGATGCAGTCGACTCAGTGTCAAATCAAGTCAAGGATTCGTTATTCTAGACTCTTAGTCAAATTCACAGAGGTAGAAGAACATGGTACAGGTAAGATCAAATGAAATGAGGACAATATGACATGCTAAAGGGACCAAATGATAATAAGAACAAGAACTAGAGATAATAACAGTGGTGTGAAAATAAAGCATAAATTGTTGTAACTCTGTAGTCAAAAAAAAAAAGACTGCTATAACAGTGTTTCCAGACCTTGAACGGTAGCGTGTTGCACTGGCACGGGCATTGGTTAGATGTAAAACAGTCACATTTTTTGGAATAGTTCAGCCTACAAATACATTTATAAATAAAATGTTTTAAGACAGCTTGCAGGGTGCTCACCCTCGCATTTTCAAAAGTCTCACTTGCACTCGTCCATCAAAGCTTCCTTAGTGTCAAACGCAGAGCATCATAGTGGTAGAGTCACGTTGCTGTTATCCAATCCGAGGCGAGATGTCCAAATATCAGGAAATAAGACTCCAAATCCTGCCGTCTGCTGCCACTTTCTGCTGCAGCAGACATGCCCGTGCTGATCTACGTGCTAAAATGCGCTTAAATATTGAAAGTTTCCTGATAAATTTAAATCAGGCAATATTTTGATATAAATGTCAAATCTAAGTCTAACTAGAATTTCAGAGACATAGAAGCACCCATATGAAAATTAACAACTAAACTCTGTCTAGAAACATTGTCCTCTCACATCTCAGTCTGCAGGTCTTGTAATGTCGGTAGCTAAGTACCTTAGCCATAGTCCACTCCTCCTCTTATAGCTTGTGTGTAAAGAGTTATGAATTATAGTTTGGTACACTAAAACTGCAGCAGCAGCAGCCATACTGACTGAGGGCCTTTATGACTGCACAAACTGAAAATCTATGGTGTGTTGTGTTATGATTGTGATTATGACGATGATGGTGACAAAGCATTTTCCTGGTCAATATGCATCGATTTGAATAAAAACATATCACACCTGTATCTGTGTTTTACTTAAACCACTAAGATGCTTTGTGTAATAAAAGGAGATGCCGTTGAAACGACCATTCAGCCAAAAAGCTAATTCTGATAGAAAAAAAAGTTTTAAAACAAAAATGTAGGAGGCATATAAGAGCATGAATGAGTCTTTTTTCACGTCCTCTTCTCCTCTCACCTGTCTTTATTGCTGATGTTCTCCCTCTTCCCATCTACTCTCACTTATCTTGTCTCAATCTGTCTTCTTGTCGACTCCTCTAACATCTTTTTTTTTTAGCTTTTCACCTTGACCTCTTTACCTTTTGCTCTATTTGGTCTATTATGTCTCTTTATTTCAACTTTCTTCTTCATCGGTATTCACTGCTCCTCTCCTTCTCTCCTGTGTGAAAATCTCCTCTTCATCCTTTATTCCTTCCTTATATTTCCTTCTTTTTTAACCTGCTCGTTGCAACGTTTTCTCTCGTTGTAATGGAAGGAGCAGGTTTAGTGTATTTAGGTAACACCCTGTCGTTTGTGCTACAGTGACAGGACAAACCATAGCTGAGCCTTTAGAATTACAGTCGCTAAATGTGTATGATTTTCTAACAGATAAAATTCTTAGCTTTCATCAAAGGAGGTGAAATGAAAACAGACACCAAAATAGCATGAAGGTTCAGTGTTCACTGGGAGCAGATTCAATTCAATTCAATTCAATTCAATTTTATTTATATAGCACCAAATCACGACAAGAGTAGTCTCAAGGCACTTCACATAATAAACAATCCAATTCTGGTCAGTTCATTAAGCCAATCAGAAATAATGTTTCCTAAATCAAATCAAATCAACTTTATTTATATAGCACTTTTCATTCAAAAAATGCAACTCAAAGTGCTTTACAGATTAAAATGGCCCCATAGATCCCACATTCCCATACCAGCCCCCCTCCCCAAGTATAAAACAATTAAAATTACAGTTCCCCTCTCGCACCCAACTTCCAAAGTGGACATACAATCACCCGCACACTCGTCCATGCACACACACGCACACACACACTCGTGAACACCAGAGGAAACAACAGGCTGAGTTCAGATGGGTCAGGTAATGAACGACACATCATCAGCGGAGCCATCTGCCCTGGCAGCAACAGATCCACGGCAGCAGCCAAGACACCGGCCCATGACGCCCAGTGGCATAGGGCAGAAACCCCCACCAGTGCCCGGGCACTACCCGGGGAGCGCCCCGGCCGCCACCGCTCCTGACCACCGGCCCCAAGGCAGAGGGCTCCGCAGAGGAAACACTGGAGGATTTAAGATATATAACATATAAAATAATAAAAGCTAATAATGATAAAAAGTAACTGATAAAAAGTGATTATAAAGATAGTAAAAGAAAACATAATCATGTAAAAACACTAAGATGTAGATAAAATGATAAAAATAATAAAAGAGATAAATATGTATTTATAGATAAATAGTGATCAGTTAAAAGCTAAGCTAAAAAGGTGGGTCTTGAGCCTATTCTTAAAAGCCTGGATGTTCCCTTCGGACCTGAGGTCCTCCGGCAGCCCGTTCCAAAGGCGAGGGCCGTAATACTTGAAGGACGCCTCGCCGTGGGTGTGAGTCTTAACTTTAGGGATAACTAGGAGACGGCTGCTAGAAGAGTGCAGAGACCGCGGGGGTTTATACAGTAAAAGAAGTTCTGAAAGATAAGATGGCCCAAGACCATTAAGACACTTAAAAACCATTAAAAGAACCTTAAAATCAATCCTGAAACATACGGGGAGCCAGTGCAGTGATTTTCCTACATAAGGAACCCAGCAAATTGCATCAAGTCACTGACTGATGCAATTTGATGTATAGTCATGTATAGTCACTGACTGTATAGTCAGTGACTATACAGCAATCCTCATACTAAGCAAGCATAAAGCGACAGTGGAGAGGAAAACTCCCTTTTAACAGGAAGAAAACTCCAGAGAATCCTGGCCCAGTATAAGCAGCCATCCACCACGACTCACTGGGGATCGAGAAGACAGAGCAGACACACACACACACCAGATGATGGTGAAGGCTGACCACGACGAGCTAAGAGGAACACTGACACCCTGTGGTCATGAGATAAATCACAACCTTCAGTTAACTAGAATAACAAAACTCTAATAACAGCAATATGAATGGGATCCTTATGCTGTAATCTAATATTATTTGCTTTGAGACACAAAAGATGATCAATCTTCAGTTTGCAGATTCTCCCATTGTCTCTTCCAGCATCCTCACAATGTAGAACAGTCCAGCTCAAATATCAAGTTTTTTTCTCACCACAGCCAGACAGCTGCTGATATAGAGGAGGAGAGAGAACATAACTCTCTACAAGAAAGCTTCTCTTGCATACAGCACTAAGAAAAATAAGATAGAAGCTAACATGACAGCAGGAGGAGAGTCACAAGAGGAAGAGAAAGGCAGGAGAGGCAAAAACGTGGGGAAGGGAAAGGAGATCCATCTGATAGCTCAGTTGGAGAGAGACTAAAAAGACAGCTACATAGGGGGTTTAATGGTGTGTGTGTGTGTGTGTGTGTGTGTGTGTGTGTGTGTGTGTGTGTGTGTGCGCGCGCGTAAGAAAGGCACCTATAAAACTTTTGTCTTTTCTGTGTCGTTAATAGGCAGTAAACTTTGACCACTAAAAACGTACCATGTAATGATCTCCCATCAACAAGCATTTCCTCCCACACCTTCACCAATGTGTCTGAGCGATAGATTTTAGTTTACCAAAGAAAACAAAGAGAAAAAAAGCAGGTAACTAAATAAAATGAAAAAAGATGAGTGGAAATGAGCAAAGAAAATCTTTTTCTGAATTTCTCACATGTTCTTGTCTACCACTTTAAAGAGCAAGTCACCCCCAAATAAACTTTTTTTTGCTGATAAACTAAATAAATGTGTGTCTAATCGTGCTGCAGACACGTGTCGTCAATAATTTGGCACTTCAGTGCATCTTAGTTAAAATTTAAATATTCTGCCTAAAACTGGCAGTGTTGTGCCGTTGTCAGGTAAAAACTCTGCGCTGTATTCTAATTTAAATCTGCCACCGCTATTGGCTAAGAGGTATGCTATGATGTAAACTGGTACATTATGATGTCACAACGTTGTCGTGAGCCTGTGTGTGTGTGTATTTGTTAGCAGCTCCACCCTCTCGGTCTGCCAGGCAACAGCATTTGTTGTATTTTTCAAACAGGAAGTGGGAGTGGAGTTAGAATCTGGTAGGGGTTGACTTGCTCTTTAAAACTGTTGTGGCGAATCAAGCTCGGTTTTGAATGCAAACACGGCCACAAAACACTCACCCCTCCCCTTGGGTATCCTCCTGTCAGAACCAGAGGACCCCGATGCCAGAGGAAACCAGATAGAGCTAAACACCAGCTGCCATATTTTAGGTCCAAATGTCTTTCATTGTCTTTAAGCTTTAATGTGCACTGCTATTTGACCCTGCAGTGCCTTTTGAACGGTATTGTAATCAATAGTTAAAACTAAATAAAAACTTGCTAAAAACTGTAATTTCCCCCTGAACATTTCTAAATGAAAGCCTTTTGTTTTAAAGACGAATCTGGGACTAGGGAGCCTAATTCTCCTCTTCCGGGTGGCTCATGGGTCCCCGGAACAAATACATCACACATATGTTGTATTTCAATTTCAATGAAAAGAAATGATGTGTTTGGATTGTGTCCGTCACATATTTAGAGATTTATTAGCTTGTAAAAATTCTTAATTAAAATGTCACAGCACTCCTCCACCAAAGAGTAGCTGCTACTTACCTCATGGCCAGATTTATAGTGGTTTTCTCCACATTTACTGCTGTGAATGTGAAGCTCGCTAAACTAAACAAATCTTCTCTTATCCGTGTCTGGTTCGATGACGTCAATTTGGTGAGACGAACATTTGTAGTCCTATACGTCTTTTCACACAAAACCTACAATAATTTTTGCCGCCTGTTGAAAATCTGCACTTTCTTGGCATAAAAATGTCTTTAAAATTCAGACACATCTTATGTGAAATTCATGACACACATCACACATTTTCAGAAAATAATTTTTATCCTCTCATTGACTCCCATTCATTTTTTTGGCAATTGGGGACCCGTTGTCTGGAAGTAGGTGGGCGTGACTTAAGCTCACCACACTCTAAACCCAAAAGGTCAAAATAATCAAATATATTGAGTAGATTAAACTCATAATAAAAAATGTTTTTAGAACTCAATCCTCTGGGATTAATAAAGTATCTTTGAATTGAATTTGAAATATGTTGAGCTTGTTCAACCTTTTCCTTGTTTTAAGTACATTTGAACTCAAACGTTTTAATTAAACTGAACTATTTCTTTTTTTAAGTAACATAACTTTAATTAATCAAGACAACTTAACTTTAATGAGTAAAATTAACAAAATATGATTGATTTATTATTTTATGTTTCTATGTTATTCCATTCGTCTTTACGTCAACCCTAAAGTGTGTCTGATAAAAAGACTTGTATCTTTTTTTTTTATTTTTATTGTGAATTTCCAGGAAAAACAACCACAAACTAGCTATTTTGATGGATTGCAGGAACAATAAACAACTGCTGGGCGTGGTGCATTGTGGGTAGTCATATTTTCAGTTATTTAGCTCTATTTTGGGGTGTTTATGCATGTTCATTGTGGAGGATTGCTGTTCTCAGTTATTTCATTCAGTGTTGCAGATGTGGTGTTACTTCCATGCTATCGTTCTTTTTTAAACACAGAAACAGTTTTGTTTACCTGTTTGTAGCTACGGTTTCGCCGACAGCTGCCGGCTTCTTCAGGCTGACGCTGACCTAGAAGCCGGCAGCTGTCGGCGAAACCGTAGCTACAAACAGGTAAACAAAACTGTTTCTGTGTTAAAAAAAGAACGAAAGCATGGATTTACAAAGACACAGCAAGAACACACCTAAGATGTGGTGTTACTTTTTTTATCATGTTGGCCCCATAAGTGAGGAGGTCGGTCAAAGTAATGCTGTATGGCTGTACCA